GATCCGTGCTTCAATTTTAATGATATAATTTTTTGTCCAATATTTTTTCTTCCGGATATAATACTATGCTCGATTTTATGATTTGTATTTTTTTAGATTTTTTTTTAATTTTTTTTAAGCTGTCATCACGAGTCCTTACTTTAAGAAGAGTCCTCGTCCGATCTTATCTCTATATATATAATACTTGAAAATTTTAAAACCAAAACATAATAAAAGTTAAAATTATATAAGGTTTTAATCTAAATAATTTTGATTTCCCTCCCAATAAATTTCATTTCCCTCTAACATCTTAATCTTAATAATATCAAATATCCTCTCGATGAAATGAAATTTTCATTTCCCTCTTTCATATTATTTCCCCCACACTTAATATTTTTGTACCCTTCCTCCAAATCCCGTTCAAAGTTCAAAGTCCATCGTCTAATTTTATCTTCCCTATCCCATCAGGAATCGCCGCATTCACACACAACAAATCAAGAATCCTTTAAGCATGTTTTCATCGGAACATTCTGAATCACAAGTCGCATGCTCATCTAAACTCCGTAGCCCTCATTGCCTCGTTGGACCATCCAAGTCGATGGCTCACAACCATCTATTTCTTTCTTTGTTGATACGAAAATGGTGAACAACTGCCAAGGAGAACGTATAAGGTAAATTGTTTCCTTCCCAATCCCTAATTCCTTTGACATCGTCTTTAGAACAAATCATTTTTGGGTAACATTTGTTCCCCACCCACCCATAAACACCACAAAACCTAAAACGGCGGTCCCCGGTTTCGCTCATTCGCCCATCCGTTCATTTGCTGCTACACTACTTCCCTACTTCGAGACCGACCACCGCCCGACGGTTTGTTCACTATCACACACACTCTTTCTCAACTATCTATCATATTTGAAAACATTTTTTAACATGGAAATCAAGTCTGGATATTGAAGATACCATTTATTATGTGTGCCCCTTCCATCCTATTTCTGTAAGTGCAAAATCAAACCCCGTTATATGTGTTGTTGAAAAGTAATCTGGACAGTGAGAAAACCAAAATACCGGGGATTACTAGCAATCGCTTGCTAAAGTATTTTTTCGAAGTTCGTGGGCACCACATCACCTCTGTTCATCAGGTAGCCAAGCAAACCCACGACTCCCCTATTCTCCAGTTTTGTTTTTCTTCCATAACATGACATGTGATCGGTTGCTCTGTTCAAATGTTGTTTCTTCTTTTGTTTTTAAAAAACTTCTCAGGTATTGAAGTACACGATTTGAGTGAAAACCATTTTTTCTTTGATCATGGACAAGAATTCCCAATATACCTCTAGTTCTCAAGTTATTATATTTGCCAATCAAAGTTCTGGTTAAAAGCGAAAGGTTTGTGATTAAATTGTTATTATTTTCTTTGAAGTCTGATTTAAAGTTTTGCTTGGTATGAAATGCAGAAATTGGAATAGATGGTGCAAGTTATTCTTCTGATCTCAAATTGAACTTAGCCATTGAATTTAAGATGAAGAGTTGGTGATGTTGAAAAGCCACAACTGGTAACTTTATTTAAGGGAAAAAACATATAAATATCACGATAAATCATATATGATTTTTAACAATCTCTTTGATATGTGTTCTTGATGGTTTGAAAAAGGGCATTTAGAGCTAGATGAAAATGGATAAGGTCTGGAATGAAATAGTGCTGTTATTTAGGTTTTGGCTCCGCTCCCCACCACAGATCCGCCATATCGTCCATTAGCCGTTGTCGTCGCCGATCCCAAAATAGAAAGCTTATTTGTCGGTGATTGTATTAGACGAGAATATGTAGGACCACAAACTTATGTCTTCCGAGATGGTTCAACCTACAGAAGATCTAAATACTTGTAACGATCCTTTTTATCTCCTTTATTCCGATAATTGGAACAAATTTAAATCCTCACTGATGAAAATTATGGTTGATGGAGTATAGTTATGTTGATCCCACTTTCAGTCAAGAACAAGATTGAATTAACTGATGGTACATTGCCTAAACAGTGTCCAGATGTCGCTACCGCCTATCATGTAAGTATGATATTAGATTATGTTTTTTTTGGAATGATTTTTATCAGTAGTTCATTATTTATTTTGGATTTTAACTTTACCCATAATGAAGTGTAACTTGGGTGTAGTGTTGGTTTTTGATTTCGATTTTCTGGAGTTGTTGTTGAAGATTCACCACATAAAAAACTACAACCGGTAAATGCACATTGTGGATCTCATTTTACCCAGACCGTTTTGCCCCTGGATGCTATTCTGTCTTATTGGGACTTTAAATATGTTGTCGGACCTAAGTTTAATTAGTTGTGGATCTTCATCATTGTTAAAGTGTTGGTTTAGAGGCTTGATTAGTTAAGGCTTCTTATATTATTTGTTGACAACTTTGAATTCCCACAACTTAAGTCACCCTTCTCTTATACTTTGTTTTAACATATCAAATCATAATTGCAGGAGATCATTCAACTTTATCTACTGGAATTACAAGTAAGTTTCTCTTCTCCTCATGAGCGGTAAAGAAAGCATCTTTTTAGATTTTGATCTCAAATATTTATCAAGTTGATTTAATTATTGGCAGTGTTATATAATTGATGTATTTTCATTTTTGTAGAAGTGTTTGTGAGTAAAAGGTGGCTATTTTATGTTTCGTGTATGAGATTGAAGGTATGGTTTGTACAAAAATTTCAAGGTTATTATTGTATTCGACAATCGATCTCTAGAAAATTTTAAGAATGTCTCCAAGAACAATGAGTATGTTGTGAATGGCATAATGCAAGAAATATCAACTAACTTTGATTTATTTGTGTATTAATTATGAGATTATTTGCTATGTTGTATATAGGTTGTGTATATTTTTTCCTACAAAGTAGGGGCATTATATAGCCTCTTTGCCCAGGGCATGGTAGACCTACAGACTGGCCCTACTCGTTCTGATATTTGATATCTTCTCCCAAATTAGCCTTTATCATGAACATAATGGCCCGATGATTTATCTACTGCACTCTGGTAACGATATAATGGATGTTGATGTTTCATGTATTTTAATTCAACAATTTTTATATTTATATTTGTAGGAAAGACAATTCTTTCATGAAGTTCCTCTACAAGGTGATTGCTATAAAGTGTCCATTGATGAAATGGTAAAAAAAAGATTCATTAATACCCCATGAAATTGGAGAAATAAAAACATTTGAGTAGGCATATAAAACTTTTGTCTCATTGCTAAAATAACTTGTGAAACATTCAAAGGTTTGTTTAATTCTGTTAACTTTATGTGCATTACATTTTTTTTTCTTTCATAAACTATTCTATTAAGTTTTTTATTTACTCAAGTTTGTTTCAATGTTGTTGGTATAGGTACCAAATATGAAATCACCTCAAGACAATGAACTTTAAAACTCAAACAAGCGCAAAACAACTTTTATATTGAGTGATAACCTTCTCAAGAAAACAAGGAACAATACTAACAAAATGAAAGTGTAGTTATATCTATTTTTTGCTGTACGATGTTATTGCTTTCTTTACAACTTTTTATTAGTACAAGGTTGTTTTTTTTGATATTTTAATTAGGGATCTTATGTATGGATTTGCATTTCAATTATTAATAAATTGATATCTTTTTCTCGTTTCATCTATATTGTGTGTGTGTTGACAGAACACTAATGGCTACAGTTTAAATTACTTTATATGATTGTAATACAAACAATGGTCACAATCAACAATGTTTTCGTGTCAAATGATAAAATAGGTTTTACTAATAACCACTTTTTATTGTAGTAATTGGAATATTGGTCACACTTGCAACGACTTTGTGTCTATAAATCAGTTACAATTATTTTTTAATTGATTCTCTATGTCAAAATGATATAAAATAATCATAGTTACAATGTTTTATATGTCTGAATGATAACATCGGTCATGAAAAATAATACAAATATGGTCGTAAACTAATATTAAATCCGTAATTTTAATAAAATATGTGTCTTTATAATACTTATGATCATGTTTCACTTAATTGTGTGTCTCTATACGATATGCAATAGTCACCAAAATTGCTTCTTTTTGTGACTAATTATTAGCAAATAGTCACTTATGAAATTAATTACATGTGACCATTTAGCGAACATGGTCATGTCCACCGTAATTATATGTCTGCAAAAGATACCCAATAGTCTTAATAAACTTTAAACTGTGTGACTATTTATTAGTAAAACGCCACACTGAAACAACATGCTTGTCGCAAGTTGGTGATATATAGTCACTACAATTACTAAATAAATGTGTCTAATAAAAGTTTAACGCCACAATATTGGATAAAATGATTGATTTTAGCAACAAAATTCCCTACCCAATAGCCATACTTTTATAATACAGCCACACTTTTTCATATCATACGAACACTACATTTCAAAGTGACCATAAGACCCACACGATGACGTCACCTTCCGTCACACTTTCAGTGAAAAATAAAATGTCACTGTACGCATATGGTCACACTTTTATGGTGTGTCCGTAGGTCATTTTTGTACTAGTGGATGATCATAAAACATGATACTAAAGTACTCTCCTTTCCTTTCAGATTGGAGAAACTTTTATCTTTCTGCCTAATAGATTCTTCTTATTTGTTCTGCTACTCTTTGAATTTTTTCAAAGTATCAGAATTATGCTTATTCTGATAAACACAACCACATTTACTGAAACATGAGTAAATCATGACGAATAGAGTTATCGTCCTTTGTGGTGGATCTGAAGAGTCCATATCAATATGTACTAGATCCATTAGTCCTTCATTTGACTCACATAAACATGTGATCAATGAATCAGTCATAATTTTCCAATGAACATGATTCTCATATACTATACAATACGACTTGTACAACACCAGGTATCTGTCTAGTTGGTGATGAGATTTCTTTTCACATGGTCAGTTATTACAATACCACAAGCAATATCATAAGAATCAAATCCATAATTAATATTGCTAATATTATAAATGTAGCCAACACTTTCATAAATTCCATTGCAAGGAAATATAAATAAAATTAGGCAATGAGATAAACCCAAAATTTCACTTTTACTAAAAATAAACGAAAAATTGGAACTTGTCCTTACAATGCATAAAATGAAAAACTATTTCTTTTCTAGACATCTCCTAAGAGTAATAGCAATCTATTAAATTATCCTAACTCCTTAGTAGTAGCTTCAAATTTTGATCTTCGAACCATGTGACTAAAGTCCATTTCTCATAATCTGATTTAGCTCACTCTGCTTAAGTTTCCTTCTTTCTCTTAGATCCCGCAATAACATCAAAATGTGATTATCACATCATGTATTAAGAGTCTATGAATAGAAACTTGATAAAACAATGGAGTTAGATAATGGATGTACCTAAAGTAGAGTCAGAGAACTTGACATTACAATCTCCGAGATCTTTTAGGTACTTTGGGCAGTTTTTCAACCAATGTCCCTTCAATTGGAAATAGAAACATATGGACTATTTGGGGTTAACACATGAAACTATCCCACAACTTATGTCTGGCTTTCTCCCTCGGTTCTCGGACTAAAATATAGTGATTAGCCCTCATTACGAGTCTGGCACGATCGGTCTGACCCTCAACTCGTATCTGGAATGCTTAGGAGTCCTAAGTATGAGTCTAGCATGCCCTCCCTGGCCCTCAGCTCATATCTGGTATAGTCCAGGGTTTTTTGGCTACAGCACGGAGCAGTACAACCTCAACCCAACCCACACAACATGTCGATATGCAAAAGATAAATACACATACAGATAATCAGGCAATATCACAGGTAGTCCTTAAGATCTACCGGACTAGCATATCAAACCAGCATGCATATCTAACTGATACTCAGCATATTAATAACTACTAGGATATCAATCCAATGGGCCGACCTTTGTGCCTTCGACCCCTAAGTATAGTGAGGAAAACTCACCTTACAAGTAGTGCTGAACCGGTAATATCAATCCTAACTCACAGCTCCAACTCAACTGCATACAATCACCAATGACTACTTCATCAAAATCCTGAAATACCCTAAATACCCTCAAGGTCAAACTTGGTCAACCATGGTCAAAGTCAAAGTCAACATTCAAGGTTAATAGGCAAGGTCAACAGTCCATGTTGACCCAACTCGTCGAGTGCATCTACGGACTCTTCGAGTTCCTTCATATCTAAGAAAATCGTGAAAAGCTCGATACAACTCGTCGAGTTACCAGAGCAACTCGTCGAGTTCTTCAGCATCCAGAAAGCGAGAAAACCCGATTCACCTCGTCGAGTTGGCTAAGAAACTCATCGAGTTATCCTAGTCTTAATACATTCAGTCGCTTTCCAAGCGAGTCTAATGCCTCCAAACTATAGATCTGGTCCCCTAGGGTTGAGATACCATGTAAAGCTGCAAGCTTTACATCCATGCATGGCATCAAGGGGCTAAAACACTAAAATCAAGCTTATTAAGGGACTTAGAGCATGAAGGATGGCCAAGACTTGATAAAGTTGGCGACTTTAAGTCCATGGAGGCCAGGAAATGTCCAGATCTGAAGTCATAGCTTCATAACATGCTCAAATCCCAAAATAGGCTAATAATGGCCATAAACTTTCAAATGAAGAGATCTAGCAAAGGGATGGTCAATGTATCGACTTTATACCTTAGAATGACTGCAACAACAATGAAAATCTCAGATCTAAAGTCTTCATCTGAATCAATCCACTTCAAGCTTCAAGTTCCTTCCAAAAGAGCACCAAAAATCACACTCCAAGCTCACACACACTCAAACTGAGAGATGAGGCGCAAACTAGGGTTTCTCTGGATTGCGGGGATGATGAGGGAGGCCAACAATGAGTCATAAGGACTTTAAATAGGGTGCAAAACCCTAAGAATTAGGGTTTCATGTTCAGCCTTTAACTCCTCGAGTTGGGTCCTTCCAACTCGTCGAGTAGACCTTAAAAGATACGCGACCATTTAAAACTCTACACGACGAGTTGGAGCCTTCCAACTCGCCGAGTTGCCCTAAAAATGCATAT